CTAATAGCTTCTTGTTACTACTAGTAAGGCACTTGTTACTAGTAGCGTGGCACTTGTTTCTAATAGCTTCTTGTTACTACTAGTAAGGCACTTGTTACTATTAGCGTGGCACTTGTTACGAGTAGCTTCTTATTTCTAAAACCTTTCGTGGTCCTCGTTTGGCTCAAAGGTCAACTGAAAAAGTGCAATTTACATCTCGCTTCTAGGCGCTTCTAGGCTGTTTGCATCCAGGCTATTAGCCGTACCGCCATCGTGTGGTACTCGTACAGGCGAGACTAATGATCCCAGCTATTGCGTATGGTGGCGGCCTGAACTCCGTGCACATGGTTCTGCAACGTGGTGCTTCGCAAGTGCAGGTTGCTCCCGAGCGCATGCCTCCTCTCCTCAAGACATGGTTGATGTGCAATAAATGACGATGGTATGTAAGATCCAGTATGTGTCCGGGGAGCACAGCTTAGAAGCAAACCTTTCCAGCAAGCAAATTTCAATAGCAGAACGACATTCAATGCGACACACGTCAAAGATGTGTACCGGTGTTTGGTACAAGACATTTGTCGACGGAGACAACAGACAAACTTGCGGAGAGGACCGTTTTGTGGACGCCTTTCCGCCTTCTCCGGTCGAAAGCGAGCCAAGACATTTAGCCGAAGACAGCTTGAGCGCACCTCAACGAGACGGTTGAAAAGCAGGTGCGCAGAGCTGACCCAGGGTGGGATGCGTGCACAATCGGCCGAATCTGGGCGTAGCGCTGGCTTACTGTTTGTTGCGCAATGCTCAGCCCATAGCCAAGCTGCCAGCGGACTCATTGCGAATCTTCGGTTCAGCTGGTTGGATTTAGACCTCTCGAAGTTCGTCGACGTTGAAAGCCGAGCAAACGCATGTAACCAGGGTCGTGAGAGCCATGTGTGTTTGTAGCCTCGCCGTGTTGGCTTGCGCAGTTATAGGGCGAAAAGGGTGAAGCATCAGTCCTTGCGTGATGGGACCATAAAGTGTGGTGGCTGGTGGTGGCGCCGCTGAATGTCGCGGTTGTGGGTCTGAGCGAGACCGAGATTGTCGGTTGGGGACTAGGGCAATGGTTGGGGTCAGGGGCCCCTAGTAGCGTTCTTGCTCCCAGTAGTATGGCCAGGAGCTCCGAGTA